TTGGAGAGGCGCCTTTCTCCAAGGCGGCGGCGTGAGGGCGTCGATGCGCGAAATTCGGCGACCTAGAGCAAGCTTGTTTCCCCTCATCCCGGCAAGCACTCGCTGGGAAGGTCGGGGTCCTATGGGCCTGCGTAGTGAGAGCATCGCGCGATCCGAGGCGTGAGTCGACGATCACGTCGCGATCCGATCGCACAGAGCTGCCAGACACATGGGGGCATTCCTGACAGGGCATCGCCTTCGAGGACCGAACGAGTCGGCATCCTTTCCTCGGCGGGAGGCGGCGGACGGCTGGCGGAAGGCGGCGGAAGCAGAACGCGGGCAGCTCCGCTGGCGGAAGCGGGCGGAAGCAAAAGTTGGCCCTCCAAGAGTCTCGGTGGTTCAAAGGTGGAGTCCTGAGAGATTATGACCTAAGGACGAGGTGCCGCAAACCATGTGAAACCACCCTTGGATCCCTTCCTGCCCTTTGATTTCCATCCCTCAGGGCCGAGAGTCGACAACCTTTTTTGATGCAGGGCTTCCAGAGCGGCCCACGGCGAGGCCGAGAGAGAGTCGCCCGCGGTCGCTGTGGCTGGCAGACGCTGCGCGCTGCCAGGACTGCCGAGCTTCAGGTTCACAGTGCCCGGGGACATCCCGAGCGGCGGTTCGATTTTGGAAAGCATCTGCCCTCCGTCCATGGCTGTTCGAAATCCTTTGGGCCCTGCGGTTAGAGGTGCAAATGTAGAGCGGCCTCACGCGAGAGCCAGACTTTGTGAGAGGGACCGCCATCCATCTGCGGACTTGCTGCGTTGTCAAATTTAGTAGTAACAGGATTTGACGAAGTACTCCCGCTACTTCCAGCAATTCCCCCACCGTGCCAGCGCACCATTCTTGGTGGCAACTGTTGGAGAAGGCAAGGAGACCTGCTGGGGACCTCTCTTGGTTCGTGTTCCCACTCTTGGGCCCCTCTTGGGGCCGTCCTGGGCCCTCTTGGGCAGTCTTGGGCGCCTCTAGGGCCGGATTGGAGCCCTCTTGGGCCGTCTTGGAGTTCTCTTCCAGGGCCTCTAGACCCGTCTCGGGGGAGTCTTCACCCCCAGAGGTCCCAGGTCCTTGGAGGTTGCTGAAGGCCTAACAAGGGCAACTAAAGCATCCGAAAGACGTCCGACGCCGTCCAAGAACACCTCCTCCCTTCATGAGACGCCCTGACGGTCTGGGTTCTGGGGCGCGATCTCGTGGATGCGCGGTCGCATGGATACTTTCCGCGCGGGGGGGGGGCGTCCCCGAAAAAGCGCCCCGCATCCAAGGGGCTGCGGCCCAGGAGTCCGATCCCGCGAGGCCATGGATGCGGACATGTTTTCCGTCGAGGGTCGAGCGCCCTTCCATGCCCGCTCCCGCAGTCCTGCAGGGCCCTCCGCGCCGCGCTCCGCCTTCCAGAGGTGCCCCCCGAAGGCGTCCGGGAGAGGGCCGAAGGGACAAGGGCGCCCTCGAGGGCGCGAAGTTGTTCGCTCTTCGCGGTCCGGCTCCGATTCCTCCTCATCCTCCTCTTCTCCCCCGGGGGGGGGGGTGCGGCGCGAAGCGCGAAGCTCGGCGCCTTCCTGCGTGCTCTCAGCGCCGTCTGGGCCCCAGCGCCCTCCTGCCCGAGCGGGGCGCGGCGCGGTGCGGCGCAGCGGCCTCTGCGGCCTGCGCAGAGGGCGATGGCGCCCTGCGGACTGGCGCGGCGCCTCGCGGACCTCTCCCTGAGGTTCTCTTTGGCGGCGGGCAGGGGCCTGGCGGGGAGGAGGAGGAGGAGGAGGAGGAGGAGGAGGAGGAGGAGGAGGAGGAGGAGGAGGAGGAGGAGGCGCGAGGGAGGAAGAAGAGGAGGAGGAGGAGGAAGAGGAGAAGGAGGAGGAGGAGGAGGAGGAGGAGACAGAGGAGGCCCAGGGCCGAGGGGGAGGGGGCCCAGCGAACCCAATGCGGCCTCGGCCCCAGCTGGCCCTGCCCCGCCTGCCCCAGTCGCCCCCGGTCGCTCCAGCAGGCCCTGGACGGTCCCACTTGCCCCGCCTGCCCCAGTCTTTTGCCTCTCAGGATCTGCACACACTGTTCATTTCTAAGTATTTGAAAGTTCTTTGATTTTTTTGGGGGTCAAGATCCTTTCATGCCTAATTGTTATATCCTGGGCCTCTTCCTGGCCACTAGGGGGCCAGGAAGAGTTTTGAAACGAGCACGATGAGAAATGAATGACGAGTAGTTTCTCGCCTCTCTTGGGCCTCCTGAAGAAGCCCTCAGCCATGGCTGGACGCGGCTCGAAGAGACTGGCCAAGATAGACCTTGGATGGGGGGGGGGGGGGGGGGGCAGGTCGCCAGGGATGGGTCTCGAGCGGATCCAGGTCGGGGGTAAGGCGGGGGGGCGGCCTTCTGATCGAAAGGCGAAGGAGATGTTGAGCTCACGTGGGGGCCGGCTCCTTCCAAGAGGCCCCCTGCCATCGCCTTTCTCGCCCTGCCCTCCCCTGGCGCTCCGCAAGAGGTTCCCGAACGACAAGTCGGAGCTGGCGTTCGTCGCGGGGCGCGCCCGGCAGTCGCTCCGGAACTGCGCGGTGGCGTGCACCCTCTTCCAGGTGTCCCTCGCCTTCGCCCTCTTCCAGGGAGGTTTCCGCGGGCTGGATCACGAGGACCACCAGGCGGTGCGGGCCGTCTACGTGATGAAGGTCGTGGCCATCGGCTTATTCGCGATCCCGTCGCTTGCCATCTGCCTCGGGTTCTCCAACAAGCTGGGCGCCGTGGGCAGCGAGAGGCTGGTGTCGATCATGTGCCTCTGCGGCTGCCTGACGGTGATACTGTCGAAGCCCTCCTACATGGCGCTGCTGCAGGGGCACGATCCCAGCAATCTCGTCGGGGCGACGTGGAGACGCGGAGAAGCGGAGACGGCCCTGACCTGCCTGATGCTGGACACCGTGCTGACAGTCTCGCACCTCTACTTGCGAGTGCGCTGGTACTACCTCCTGGCGGCGGACTCCACTGTGCTGCTGCCTATTGCGTACTATTCATCTCGCTTCGCGGGGGGCACGCCCAGAGCTCGTGAAGGCTGGGCGTTGTGGCCGCACTTCATGGCAGGAGGAGGAGGCCTTTGGGAGGTCTCTTGGGATCAGTTGCGGGACTTCTCGGGGCCCTCCTCGCGGCTTCGGGGGGGGTCACACCCGAGGGGCCGCAGGAGGCCTCTTGGAGGCGCCCAGAGGCACCCGGCTCGGCCATCGGAGGCCTGTCTTGAGGCCCAGGGCTCCCGCGAGTTCCCCTGGCCTCCCCGAGCGCCTCCCGTTCTCAGTTTTCCCACGGCCCCGCCTCCCCACTTGTCAGCAAGTCCCCTCCCTAGGGAGGGGCAGCCATTTCCCACGCTGACACCCCAGGGGTCGGCGAATTTCATGATTGGCGACTCGTCCGAGGTCGAGCTGTGGTCACTACTCTCGCTGGCCTCTTTGACGCTCTTGGCGATCGTAGGCACCCGGAACATCGAAGCCACCCAGCGGAAGTTGTTCACCGCTTTGCTCTTGGAACGGAACGGGCGCGTCGCGACCGAGTTCAAGTTGGAGCAGGCGTTGTCGAGCTCTTCAACCTGCGTGGACCTCGAGACCCGCTCGCACGTCAGTGCAGTCACGGACGGGCTCTCCCTAGTGTCATCGAAGGCCTCGGACCAGGTGTTCGACCTGAGCAGGCTGGAAGGCATGGATGAGGACGATAACGTGCTGGCGTTCGAATGCAAATCCGCACTGCGCTCTGTGGCGGCGGCCGGCAAGCGACAGAAGTGGCTCGTCGACACGGAGCACGTTCGCCTGACTTCGAGAATACTCGGCTCTGGCAGCTTCGGGCTCGTCGTCCAGGGCGATTTCGTCGGCACGCCTGTGGCGGTGAAGATCCCCAGCGGGGAGGTCTCCACCAAGGCGTTCGTGAACCTGGGAAACGAGCTGGGCATCATGCGGCACCTGAGGCACCCCAACATCGTGGGTTTCCACGGCGCGTGCATACAGCCAGAACGTGGTCGCATGGCGTTGATCCTTGAACTAGTGCGCGGTAGGAGTGTCGACGAGCTGGTCTGCGACCCCGAGAACCCGCCAAGGGAATTCGCGCGCGCTCAGGTGTTGACCGGCGTGTGCTGCGCACTGCGGTATCTGCACTCTCGGGCGCCTCCCGTGGTACACGGTGACCTGAAGGGCTCCAACGTGCTGGCGGAGCAGGATGCTCAGGGCAACCTGAAGCCGATGCTGCTGGACTTCGGGCTGTCGCGCCGCGTTCGGGGACTCGTTCAGCCGCGGGGAGGGACGCTGCAGTACATGGCGCCCGAAGTGCTCAACGGCTCTCCGCTGGACTGCCTCGCCGACGTGTTCTCCTTCGGGCGCCTCATGTTCCTCGTGGTCAGCGGCTCCGTGCCCCTGCTCGGCGTGCCCGAGGCCGAGGTGCGCGAGCGGTCCCGCAGCCACTCGCCGGACCTGGTCTGGCCGAGGGAGGTGGTCGGCTCCGCCCTCTGGGCCACGAGCAGGAGCCTCCTCGCGTTCGACCCCGCGGAGCGGCCCACCATGCTCGAGACACACCGGATGCTGCGCGACTGCTTCCCCAGGCGGCCCGGGCAGGACTCAGGGTCGTCTAAATGTACTATCCCGATCCCCACCTGGGCGACGGTATCTAAGCCCCGCCAGTCCGCCCAGCGAGCTTGGTGGGGACAGGCCTTGCGAAGTCCGAAGAAGCAGGCATGTATTCCCACCCTGAGCCCTCCCGAACAGCCGGTTTGGGGGATTTGTGGATCTCGAGGGGAAAAACCAGGGAGCAGGAGAGAGTATGAAGGGTATGGTGGAGTAAGAATGGTATGAGAAGGAGAGAGTAAGAAGGGCAAAGTGGGAAGGAGGGAGTCAGAAGGAGAGAGTAAGAAGCATGGAGGTATGAGAAGTAGGGAGTAAGAGGGAGAAGGTGGGAATCCCACTCAAATGGGCAAGCCGGCCAGCGGGGCCAAGGCCACGCCAGTGGGGATATATAGGGATTGGTGAAGCGATTCTCAAAAGGACGCTCCCGAGCTGAATCTCTGCGCCCCCGCGGCGGAGGAGCCCTGCGCCGAGTCGTGGAACGACGCGTACCCAGGGCTCCGGGACGTCGCGTGCAGGGCCGTGGGGAGCCAGTGGCCGCTGCAGGCCCTGGCGAACGCTGGCTCGAGCACCTCGGCGCGCTGCCCCCCGAGCGAGCGGGGCAGCTCCTCCCTGCAGGCGTGGAGCGAGGTCCGGAAGAGCAAGCGGCACTCCTTTTCAAGGGGGGGGAACTCGAGCAGTGGCGATGCGTCCTGGCTCACCTATAGGCCTACCAAGCAATGTTCTAGGAACCTTTTGTGGCTTCCACGAGATGTTCTCAGAACATGTCTGGCCGGGACCGTCCTGCTTTAACACATCTGGCTTATGTTCTAAGAACAGTGTTTTTGTTTTTGGATCACTTTGGGGTTCTAAGGGCATGTCGTGGTAGGACCATAGGAATGCCAGGACGGTCGGCCACTGCTCAAAAAACCACCCCGATTCCCACAACTGGCGTTTACTTTCGAGGCGCCGAAGGAAGGACCACTTTGGGCTCAGGAGGGTTTTCGGGCCTTTCCTTGGGTCAAGGTCGAGGAACCTGTCCGTGGACGAGGCCCACCGTGGCCAGGAAGGCCCCTTCGTTCTGGCAGTGCCCCGACTGTACTGAACGGCCCTGAGCACGTACCAAGCAGCCCTGCCCCGCTCGATGCCTTCCTTGGTGCGTTTGCTGAGCGGCTTTGCTTGTGGGGGGCGGCTTCTCTGAGGGTGTTCTCCTGCTCTCTACATCCAGGCCTCCTAGCCGCGTGCAGTCCAGTCGCATAGGAAGGATGAGCAACTTTCCAAGGCCACCCTTACATTCTTGCCCCTTCGGCCCATCCTTGGCGACTTTCGCTGCCCGCGCCCAGTTCGAGAACGCCAACATGGCCCTCCAAGGCCGCATCCTTGCTGCGCATCCTCACTATGCCACGTGACTGTAGATGGGGTTGGAGGCTCGATGTAGGGCCTGATTTTTTCCACGCCGACGTCGCCGATACGTCACCGACATCGCCGATGCATCGGCGATGCGTTGGCGATGCGGTGCGATCCTCCGACCCCATCTGCTCAGCCCCTTATCTGGGAGGCCTCAAAAGATGGGCCTTCGGGGGGAACCCTCGTAGCTACGGCTGGACGCAGCTCGGAAAACTGCTGCGTTTGGACCCTGGGAGGGATCCCGGGAATTATTGTGAAGGCCTTACGGCCAGTGCCGCGGACCCTTACGGCGGGACCTCCCCCAGGACCCCCTGCTCCCTCCCAGGGCCAGGACCAGGGCCAGGGCCTGGGCCATGGCCTGGGCCGGGCCTCGGCCGGGGCCGGGGTTGGGGCCAGGGCCGTCCGGGGATCTATTTTGAGCTGCCGTTGTCTCAATTCGCCCTGCTGCCTGACACGGCACATGAGCACTCGGCAGGCTCTTCGGGTCGGCCGACATCGAACGACGTCACGGTATCGGTCGGCGGCGAGCGAGGGTGGGAAGTGAGAAGGGGCGGGCCTTCTCAGAAGCCTCAGAAGTCCCCCGTCCTTCTGGGAAGTTGTTCTAAGCCTTCCCCGAAGACACAGACAACTTTTCAGAAGGCCCGAGGCCTTCTGAGAAGCCCCGCCGCCTTCTGAGAAGGCCTTCTCCTTCTCACTTCCCCCATCGCTCTCCACCAAATCGGGAAGCCGCGCGCGTTCAGTATTGAACTGTCCGCGCTGTGCCAGGGGCCAACGACACGAATCTGCTGTACGGTCGGACCGATGGAGAAGATCGAGGTCGGTTCTGGGAGGGCACCCTCATGTCATTCGTGTTTGTTGCATGCTCTTGTGCATCCTGGGGGAGGGTACCTGCGGATGTTCGTCTGCTTGGCTGGCTGAGGTTTTCATGTTCTTGAAGGAAATCCTTCTGTCCTGTGTCTGGCCGGAGACTTTCGGGATGTCCTGGCGGGGTTCTCGGAACCGGCGCGGGGCGCACCCGCAGGGGGAGCGTCCAGCGCCGGCCTAGGAAAGCCGCACGGACCTCCGAACGTTTATGTTTGTGCAGCTTGTGATTCTTGCAAGGTCTCGGTGTGAGCGGCGAGGGCGCCTGTGGGCCCCCTCCCCTTCGGAAGTTGCTTGGCGCTCCTCCTCCCTACTCTCCCTGCCCTCCCTCCTCCTCCTCTTCCTCCTCCTTCTCCTTCTCCTCCTCCTCCTCCTCCTCCTCCTCCTCCTCCTCCTCCCTCCTCCTCCTCATCCTTCCCTCCTCCACTTCCTCCTCCTCATCCTTCCCTCCTACACTTCCTCCTCCTCCCCTCCTCCTCTCCCTCCTCCTCGGCTCCTCCTCATGCTCCACCTCCTCCGCCTCCTCCTCCTCCTCCTCCTCGTCCTCCTCCTCCTCCTCCTCCTCCTCCTCCTCCCCTCGTCCTCTTCCCTCCCTCCCTCCTCCCCCTCTGGACCCCCCGAAAACTTTTGGAAACGACCAACGGCATCCGAAACCCGCCACGGCGCCACTCTCAGTCAGTTGCTGCGCGGCCGTGGCCCAGTCGAGGGGGGGCTGGGCGGGGAGGGGGGCTGGGCTCCCTCTCCCGAAGCCGGGGCGTGGTTCTTGCACTGCCCCCCGGAGGGGAGCCGGGGGGAGCGGGCTGCGCGGTGGCGGGAGGAGGAGGAGGAAGAGGAGGAGGAGGAGGTGGAGGAGGAGGAGGAAGAGTAGGAGGAGGAGAATGAGGAGGGGGAGGAGGAGGAGCAGCAGGAAGAGGAGGAGGAGGAGGAGGAGGAGGAGGAGGAGGAGGAGGCGTGCAGCCGGTTTCGGTCCCGCCGCTAGGCGCTTCCATCAATACGTTGGCGCCCATGGCGCCAGGAGGCGCTGGGAAAATCGGCTGCGTGAGATGATTTCGGAGGGACGCAAACAATACACCACCACCAGCTCTGACCAGGTCCATCCTGGGCCTTGGACTGGTGTATAGGCCTCCAGACCTGGGCCATGAGGGCCCGTACACCACTCCAGGGTCCAGGATGGACTTAGCAAGGGCTGGTGGCGGTGTATTGTTCGGAGCTCATGATTTGATTCTCCAACCCCCCCTTTACCCCCCTCCCTGTTGTCCAGCCCGAGAGTCGCTGGGACAGTTTCGTTTTTCCCGGAAAGGGCGTGGGCCCAGGGTTCTCTTTTGGTGGGTTGACCCTTTGGTTTTGACTTGAAAGGGGCGGGCGGAATTGTTCTTAAAAAAACAACGAGGTGCAGTCCAATTCGGCGTGAAGAAAATGCGTTTCGCGCGTGCCCGCTCGAGGAAAGTCCACCCCCCTATCTCGGAACTTCGATAAATAACGGGGTCCGCGGACCACCGTTTTCCTTTGTAAGAAAGAGGGTGCGGGGCACTTTTAGCAGAATCCTCGAACATTAGCCTGGCGAAGGACACAACCATATGCAGTTGTGAGTACCGTCTTTGTGAGCAACGCATTCGGTGGGGTTCCCTGTGGGGCCACGAAATGGTCTCCTTGGTGGGAGACGCATGCGAATGCAGCCACTGGGGCCTTCGGTGGAGCTCACCATGGGGCCACGAAGCGCTGTACTGAGTGGTGCGGAGAGCATGCGGGCACCCCCACTGGGGCTTTCGGTGGAGCTCCCTGGGGCCACGAAACGCTGCCCTGGGTGGGGGAACCGCATGCGGGCACCCCCACTGGGGCCTTCGGTGCAGCTCCCTGGGGCCACGAAACGCTGCCCTGGGTGGGGGAACCGCATGCGGGCACCCCCACTGGGGCCTTCGGTGGATCTCCCTATGGGGCCACGAAACGCTGCCCTGGGTGGGGGAACCGCATGCGCAAGCAGCCACTGGGGCCTACGGTGGAACGAAACGCTGCCCTGGGTAGGGGAACCGCATGCGGGCACCCCCACTGGGGCCTTCGGTGGAGCTCCCCATGGGGCCACGAAGCGCTGTACTGGGTGGGGGAACCGCATGCGAGAGCAGCCACTGGGGCCTACGGTGGAGCTTCCTATGGGGCCACGAAACGCTGCCCTGGGTAAGGGAACCGCATGCGAGAGCAGCCACTGGGGCCTTCGGTGGAGCTCCCGATGGGGCCACGAAACACTGCCCTGGGTGGGGGAACCGCATGCGAGAGCAGCCACTGGGGCCTTCGGTGCAGCTCCTATGGTGGGGCCACGAAGCGCTGCCCTGGGTGGGGAACCGCATGCGAGAGCAGCCATTGGGGCCTTCGGTGGAGCACCCGGTGGGGCCACGAAACGCTGTCCTGGTGGGGGAACCGCATGCGCAAGCAGCCACTGGGGCCTTCGGTGGATCTCCCTATGGGGCGAAACGCTGCCCTGGGTGGGGAACCGCATGCGATGGGCCCTTCGGTGTGGGGCCACGAAACGCTGCCTGGGTGGGGAACCGCATGGCAGCCACTGCCTACTGCGGGCACCCCCACTGGGGCCTTCGGTGGAGCTCCCCATGGGGCCACGAAGCGCTGTACTGGGTGGGGGAACCGCATGCGAGAGCAGCCACTGGGGCCTACGGTGGAGCTTCCTATGGGGCCACGAAGCGCTGCCCTGGGTGGGGGAACCGCATGCGAGAGCAGCCACTGGGGCCTTCGGTGGAGCTCCCGATGGGGCCACGAAACGCTGCCCTGGGTGGGGGAACCGCATGCGAGAGCAGCCACTGGGGCCTTCGGTGGAGCTCCTATGGGGCCACGAAACGCTGCCCTGGGTGGGGGAACCGCATGCGAGGGGCCTTCGGTGGAGCACCCGGTGGGGCCACGAAACGCTGTCCTGGGTGGGGGAACCGCATGCGCAAGCAGCCACTGGGGCCTTCGGTGGATCTCCCTATGGGGCCACGAAACGCTGCCCTGGGTGGGGGAACCGCATGCGAGAGCAGCCATTGGGGCCTTCGGTGGAGCACCCTGTGGGGCCACGAAACGCTGTCCTGGGTGGGGGAACCGCATGCGAGAGCAGCCACTGGGGCCTTTGGTGGGACTCCCTATGGGGCCACGAAGCGCTGCCCTGGGTGGGGGAACCGCATGCGAGAGCAGCCACTGGGACCTTCGGTGGAGCTCCCTATGGGGCTACGAAGCGTGTGAGAGGTGTGCCGAGAGCAAAGGCAAGGAGGCGTAGGAGGGAGGAGGGAGGGGGCAGCGGGAGGAAATGGAGACGCGGGGCACCGTCTTTTCAGAACGAGGACCCAACACTACAGGATGGTTGGGAAAACCAGGGTCTGGAGCCCCGACCGCGACGCGGAAAAGCGCCCCGCGCGCAGGAATTCCGAGGATGCCTCGCGCGTAGGATTTCCTTGGATATTGACAGGATGTCTCGAGCGAAACGCTTGTTTTTCATAATTTGTTGGGGATGTCTCGGGCGAAACGCTGGTTCTGCAAAATTGGTAGATGTCTGGAGCGAGGGCCTCGTGTGGGGCCAGAATTCACAGGATGTCTCAGGCGAAATGCTTGTTTTCACGTCCCGTTCGCAGGAATTCCGAGGATGTCTCGCGCGTGCCGCGTCCCGCGCGCATGAATTTTGTGGATGTCTCGACTAATTCTTTTGTGTTTCCGGGGTGTCTTTGGATGTTGATCGGATGTCTCGAGCGAAACGCTTGTTTAGTTTATAATTTCTTGAGGATGTCTTAAGCGAAACGCTGGTTTTGCAAACTTTGGGGATGTCTCGATCGGAGGCCCCGTGGGGGGCCAGAATTCAGAGGATGTCTCAGGCGAAATGCTTGTTTTCACGTCCCGCTCGTAGGAATTCCGAGGATTTCTCGCACGTGCCGCGTCCCGCGCGCAGGAATCTTGAGGATGTCTCATCTAATTAATTTGTTTGTCCATGCTTTCTTTGGGTTTTGCCAGGATGTCTCGAGCAAAACGCTTGTTACTCATAATTTGTTGAGGATGTCTCGAGCGAAACGCTGGTTTTGCAAAATTGGGATCTCGAGCGGGGGCCTCGTGGGGGGCCAGAATTCACAGGATGTCTCAGGCGAAATGCTTGTTTTCACGTCCCGTTCACAGGAATTCCGAGGATGTCTCGCGCGTGCCGCGTCCCGCGCGCAGGATGTTTGAGGATGTCTCGACTAATTCTTTTGTTGTTCCAGGAATTCCTTTGATTTTGGCAGGATGTCTCAAGCGAAACCCTTGTCCCCAGCACGTTCCGTAGCGCGTCCCCTTGGCACGTCCTGCGGTGCGTCCCCATGGCACGTCCCCTGGCACGTCGCTTGGCGCGTTCCTTGAGACGTTCCGCGGCGCGTCCTCCTGGCATGCCCCCCTGTCAATTAGCTTTGGGGCAGCTACTATGTGTTCGGTCAGCTCGAGCTTAAGATCCAGATCAGTTCGGTCGGGACTCGGATGCAAAGGAGGACTCGATTCACGACGCTATAGAGCACAATCGCGGCATGGCACATCGCAGTTCAGCACGGTGCAGCACAGCACAGCCCTCGGCAGGGTACATCAAGATCGATACACTCAGCATTGCATTTGCCCGTCACCCAATCAGGTGTCTTTGAAAACGTTGCCATGCGTTACAGCTCTACACTCCTTTCCGGGTTCGTGGGTCGATCATGTTACGCTCCTCCTGTGGGCCGCCCCGCAGTCGGTACGCCATTCCCTGGGCTATTGGAGCGCGCGTGCGGGTTGCCTCTGCCGCGTTGCGACAGAAAAGTGTGCCGCACCCCTCCCACGGCTGGCAGGGCTGGGGCACGGTCAGAGCGCCGATCGCGCACGAGCGCCACCCCGCCCCCCGCCGCTTGGTTCAGTGGGGCCGGGTTAGCCATGGGCGACGGCCTGGGTTGAGGAGCTAGGACGGCATGGAATCTGTGCCACGAGTGCACCAGGCTGCTCCGAGCACGCATACGTTGGAGCCCCAGTCTTAAGTCCAGAGCTCCTCCTCCTCCTCCTCCTCCTCCTCCTCCTCCTCCTCCTCCTCCCCATCCTCCCTCCCTCCGCCGTTCCCTCGCGCACTCCTCCCCTCCTCCTCCACCTCCTCCTCATCCTTCTCCTCCTCCTCTTCCTCCCTTCCTCCTATTCCTCCTCCCCGTCCTGATCCCCCCTGCTTACTCCCCCTCGTTCCCCTCCTCATCCGCCTCTGGGGAGTAACTGCTGCCAATTATAACGTCGACTTGTAGATGTGCTAGAGCACCTTGTGTCTTGTGTCACCCAGCATCGCTTCAATTTGACGAGGGGAAACTCTCGCACTGGTGTTCCCTGTGGCCTGTAAGACCTGCCGACCAGGCGGCCTGTCATAGGTGGTGTTCCTAAGGTTCATTGTGTGAGTTCTCGACTGACGAGGCGTTTGCGTGCACTGCTTTGACATTTGCTCTCGCTCTCTCTCTCTCTCTCTCTCCCTCTTTCTTCTGGCTGCTCCAGGTCAGTTCGAATATTGGAGTAAGGGCGCTTGCTGCCCGAGGTCCAATCACATGCCCCGCTCTTCCTCGCTCCCCCTCTCTCTTCATCCTTCGCCTCCTCCTCCTCCTCCTCCTCCTCCTCCTCCCATTTTCAGTGCCTGGACAGGAGTATGTTGATCGCCGTCTGCTCCCTAGCCACTGTGTTTGCAAGCGTACCATACTGTGTCTGTCCGGAGGCCAGGGGGCGACGTCATCGGGCTCAGCGTGGGGGGGGCCCGGTGCCCCGTGGTCTCCTGCCCGGTCTCCCGCGTGGTCGTTCTCCGCACGGTCTCCCCGCATGGTCTCCCTCCTCGGCATCGCTCGGGCGTGTGCTTTCGGACGGGTGCCTCCTTTCGTGTCCAGGCCAGGACCCACCGAGGAGCATCCTTCCTCACCGAGCCCCCCGTCCCCCCCCAAAAACACGCACGAGATCGAAACATGCACGCGGAGTGGACGTCCGAGCGATGGCAAGCCTCTAGTGCCTAGTGCTGTCTAGAGAGAACGCTATATATAGACTACTCTTCGCTTTCTGTCGTACTCCCTGCAGTGATCTCTTTGGTGCTCTGAAGAGCTGCTCAGGGTCTTCTACTGCCATAGATGTCGCTCAGTCGCCACTTCGCCAAGAAACACCCTGCTTGCCTCCAGGGTGACCTGTGTTTCTAGGGTTTCGGGGGGTTCGTGACGTTCCCACACCAGAAAATCAATGGGCATCCTGGGGTCTCTGGGTTGGGGTTCTTGTGGAAGGTTTCTTGTGGTCGAGCTCCTACTGTATTCTCTACTTTCCCTAGACTACTCTTCGCTTTCCATCGTGCTCCCTGTAGTTATCTCGTTTGTGCTCTGAAGAGCTGTTCAGGGTCTTCTACCGCCATGGGCCATGGGTGTAAATCAGACGCCGCTTCGCCCCTGATGCCTTCTCTTTTCTGGAGAGCGAACACTGGGTTCGGCCCCTCTCCTCCGCTCCACCTCTTCCCGCCTCCTTCGCCGAGCATGCCTGCCTCGTGTCTTCATGGTTTTCGCCTCCAGAGAGACCGCTCGGTCCTCTGAGGAGCGGCTCGTTTGATCCGAACGCCCCAGGGCCACGTCCCGTGACCATCTTCCTGAGGCAGGGGGACCGCTGCAACTCGAGCGTCTTTGTACAGCTTACATCAGCACCTTTGTGAGGGCTTAGTACGACAGAATACACTTTCGGTGTCTCGCCCCCCCACCTCCTCTTTTTCCATTTGTCGTGAAATAGTGTTGCTCTGTGCCTACGTGTGCCCATGTGCTCGGCCTCTGACCCGTAAACGGATCGGGCTGGTGGGTGCCGTGCCTGTTTCTCTAGCCAGGCTGCCAAATCAACCGCGACACCATCGCACATCAATCGGGACACCACTGTGACACAAGCAGGAATCGATCATATATCTACCGGTAGACCATCGCAAGTTAACCTGGACGTCATAGCGAATCAGTCGAGACACCATCGCAAGTCAATTGGGGCATCGTCGCCAATACATTGGGACACAATCGCAAATCAATCGGGACACCACCGCTAATCAAGCAGGATGCGATCGTATATGAGTCGGGGCACCATGGGAACGATCGCAAATTCATCGAAGCTCAATAATGGCACCATCGCGAACCAACCAGTGCCCCATCACTATCGCGAACAAAATGTAAACATGTGTAAACCAACTGGGGCACCACGGTAATCCGACAAGGGCAATATCACAAACCAACCGAGACACCGTTGCACATCAATTGGGACACAGTCGTGACAAGTGCAGATCAATTGCAGAACGACCGGGACGCCAGCGCAAGTGAATCGGCATACCATCGCAGCTAAACCCAGATACCGCTCGGAAGCCAACGCACGTCAAGCAGGACACCATTGGGCATTCTGCCGCAGGGCGCCGCGGCGCCAGGGTATCGGCCGCCACGCTGGTGCATGTCGTCATGGGGTGCAGCACCGTGGCAGTGCGCCGACGCGACAGGCCTGAGCTAGCGCGGCCATCTGTCCAAAACGCGCGGACGGGTGCTCGCGTTCCAGAGACGCGCCATACCAAGCGCTGAGGTCCGTGCGTTAGGGATCGCAGGACGGGGGGGGCCCTCGCCTTGTCTGCGCTCGTGACCGTCGCAAACCAACCGGGACATCATTGCAAGCCAATCAGGGTGCACCACCGCACACCAATCGGGGCGCCATTTTGGCATTATCGTAAGCGAATCGCAAACGAAGCGGGCCACAATATCAAATCAATTGGGATCCATCGCAAGTCAATAGAGATCCTTTTGCGACACCATCGTAAATCAATCGGGATACCCTCGTAACCCATTTTGGCCATCATCTCAAAACAATCGAGACACAACTGCCAACCAAAGTTGGCACCATGGGAGCAACATGTCCAATCGATTCAACATCAGAAGGGACACTCAACTGGTGCAGAATCTCAATTCAATCGAGACGCACTCGCAAAACAACCAGGCTGTATCATCGGGACACCATACCAAAATTATGAGGACAAGTCAGTCGCCAACCAGTCGAAACGATATCACATGATATCGCAAGTCAACCAGGAGGTCATCGCACATCCATCGAGTCCATTAAGTCGGGATTCCCTCGCAAAGAAATCGTAAGTCAATTGGGACAGCATCGCACATGAATCAAGACACCACCTAAAATCAGCAGGAAGTCAATCTCCACCAGACGGGCCACCTTGCGGACGCAGTTGCAATTCAATCGGGGTACCATTTTTAATCAATGGATACACCGCCCCCAGCAAATCGCAAAACATGTGGGGACACTTTCGCAATTTGTTCGAGGCACCACCCAAAGGCAATTCCATCGCAAGTAACTCGGGGCATCATCGCAATCCGTTCAAGACGCCCTGATAAAGACTTCGGGCTACCATCGCATCTCATTATGGACGCCATCGCGACACCATCGGAATGCCATCCTAAACCGATCGAAACATCGCAAACAGATCGGAGCACCATCGCAACTCGATCGGGGCACTATCGCAAACCAGCCAGGGCCAGCGGGGCACAGACTATCGCGACTTCGTCGCAAGTGATCTGTCAATCGGCCAAATCGCCCCCGCGACACCACGTCGAATCAGTCGGAGATCGATCGGGAGATCGGCGGACCCCCGCTCGTCCGGCCCCGCCGTCCGCCGAGAAGGGGCAGGAGCGGGAACGCCATCCAGAAGGGCCATCGCTGCCCCCGTGCACAGCCTCGCAGGCACGTTCAGGTCCGATTCGACGGACCAGGAGCAGGAACATCGGAGTCTTGGAGGTTGGCACCAGCACCAATATCGGCGGTGTGCCTCCGCCGAGGCAAGCTGGTCCCGAACTCGGTGATGGTGGTATACTCGGGCTTCCCAGGTGGCCGAACAAGGAACAATCCTTCACGCTTCGCGTATTCCCTCCAGTTTTTTTCACTCGCCGCCACCAGACGTTGCACCGGCGTGCTCTCCCTCCTGTTTCACAGGGGTCTTTCCTGGCGGCTGGGGTTTGCTGCCCAATATTGCTTCCTGATGGCGTTCAGGTGGTCTTCAATTCGTGCAAGGGTTCACACAGGGAATGATGCTGCGGCATTCGCTCAGGTCAGGTGCCCCCTGGCCTGCTCCTGGCTGGTGTCGGCCCCTACTGATGACCGGGAGGTTCCAGTGGGTCTCTCGCTACATTGCCTACCTTACGGTACTTGGAGCTCGGGTTCGGCAGTGTGGCTCTGTACGCTCGTTGGCCGACGTTCTCCTGCATGGACTTCGCTTTCGACAAATGTTACAGGTTTTACTGCCGTTTGAAGTCTTGTCGGTGATGAGGTTGCCCCTCTTCACTCTTGCGCCGACACGATGTTTTGGCACTAGTGTCGCCTACTTCACGGATATCGTCTGGGTGTGCCTGTCGGTTTAGTTCGTCTCAGACGGTGTTGTTTGCCTGACTCACACCGAGCGATCCACCTCTGCGTGTATATGGTCGCGCCGCCGCGCCATTTCGGCTGCGCTTACTTGCTGGTCGCCACCGGGAATTCCAACGCCACCAGGTTTGGGAGTATCGGTTCTGGCTTTCTTTCTGAGTGGCTGCTGCCCGCTCGCTTGCTTCGCTTGTCTTTCTTTTCCTGCTGCCTAGTCGCGGCCCGACTAGTGTTCGGACGGGTTTCGACCCGCCTCGTGAGCCTGTTGACCGAAAAATCCCCACCAGACGATCAACGCTGCCGATGGGAGCTGATCTTCTTGAGGCCCGCTTGGTGTCCTCTTGGGGCTTTCTCGGGATACCCCCTCAAGCAGCACTGGGAACTAAAAACATCTTGAGCCTAGTGTCGGCTCAAGAGAGGAGCACAAAGGGAGGAGCGCCTCAGACGATGACGATGACCTTTTGCCAAGGAGCAATGCTGCTTGCTTCGCTGGCGCCCGGCGCATCACGCGCCGGCGCCGGTCTTAGGCCACGCGTCGCGGGCCACGCCGCCGCCAGGGCACTGTAGCGCCTTGGCGGCCGCGAAAAGTCCAGAACAGGGCGGGTAAGGAGGCCCCTAACGGGGCCTCAAGGGTGGGCCAGCTTGGCCTCAAAAGGCTTGAGCCGCCGAGCGGCGGTGGGAAAGGAGGGGGAGAGAGAGGGCAGGCAAGAGGCAAGGGCAGGAGCGAGGGGACCATGGGAGAAAGCCCGCGCCAGTCCTGGAAACGGGGAGATCCATCAGTTTTACCAAACATCCTAGATATCCCCTCAAGCAGCACTGGGAACTAAAAACATCTTGAGCCTAGTGTCGGCTCAAGAGAGGAGCACAAAGGGGGGAGCGCCTCAGACGATGACGATGACCTTTTGCCAAGGAGCAATGTTGCTTGCTCCGCTGGCGCCCGGCGTATCACGCGCCGGCGCCGGTCTTAGGCCACGCGTCGCGGGCCACGCCGCCCACCTCCTCTTGTGAGTATTCCACCACGCCGAACTGGCTGTAGTGGGTCACGCAGTCGCCGACCTTCCCGGCGTCGAACTAAACAGTCCCGGCTTCTGCGGCACGCTGCCGCTTCCGCCCATCAAGGTGAGTCCGCAGGCGCAGGGCGGTGCACCGCCGGCGCCCGCGGGGGTTCTTCATGCGCCCAGTGCGGTAGCCCAGCTGGGCCAGCCGCCTGCGCCTCTCGTAGCCGCCACCGCCGTCCCCCATGACGGCGCTGCCGGCGCCAGGCCGGCGCGGCGCTCTGCCCTCAGGCACCAGCTGCCGCCGCCCGCGCCCAGCTGCTCGCAAGCGCAAGGTTGATCGCGAGCGCCAGGCTGAACTCAGCCGGCGCCGCGTGGCCGCCCGCGCGGCGGCTGCCGGCGGCGGACCTCTGCGGCAAGCTGCCACGTCCGCCCACCAAGGTGGGTCCGCAGGCGCGGGGCGGCACGCCGCCGGCGCCCGCGGGGTTCTTCATGCGCCCCGTGCGGCCGCCCTCGCTGGGCTAGCCGCCGGCGCCCCTTCATAGCCGCCACCGCCGTCCCCTCATGACGGCACTGCCGGTGCCAGGCCGGCGCGGCGCTCTGCCCTCGGGCACCAGCGGCCGCTGCCCGCGCCCGGCTGCTCGCAAGCGCAAAGTGATCGCGAGCGCCAGGCTGAACTCAGCCGGCTTCGCGTGGCCGCCCGCGCAGCGGTTGCTGGCGACGGACCTCCGCTGCCCGCCTGGCCGTTGGCCAGCGGCAGCCTCGCACCTCAGTCACGATGCGGCCTCTGCTCTCCTCCCCGGGGCCATTCGGGCGACCCGCGGTGCCCTGACGGGGCTACTTCGCGCGTCACCTCGTTGGCCCGGCGGAAGCCTTGGGTCTCGTGCACGTACCTCACGCCGTTGTAGTGCACCGGGCCCATCACTCCTGCGTCGCAGTGCGTCTTCTGCGGCTGCTTGGGGAGCCTGGGCGCCTTGGGCGTCGGCTGCGCTGTGGCCTGCTGTGCCTCTGGCTCCAGCCTCTTCTCGTTCTTCTTGGCTATCCCACAGCAGCAGCAGTAGAGCACCCCGACGCTCCCTGCAAGCAGCGCTGCAATCGTGGCCACCACCTTCAGCGCTGTCTCCACTGGGAAGACGATCGCCACCGTGCCCGTCTGCGGCTCCCAGCGAAGCGTGACCCCGTGGGCCCTGTCGTCGACTGCCGCCACCTCGTGGCTCTGTCTCTCCCCAGCTGCCGTTGCGAGCGCCGTCACCACCAGCGCTGCGCACAGTGCGCCTGCCCGGGGGTTGCGGGCTCTGCGGCGGCCGCCGCTGCGCCCACTGGCCGGCCGTCCGCTCCTTCGCTGCTGCCTGCGCTGCCAAAGGGCGCCTAACAGCACCGCTGCCAGCAGCGCCCCCGCTGTCGTCGCCCACGCCCCCACACCGACCGGGAGCGCGAGGGTCAGCAGGCTCTGGCTCTCCGCCGGGTCGACCTGGATCACGTAGCCGTCTGCGCTGCTAGCCGTGGCGGCGAGCGTCGTCGCGGCCAGCGCCGTCCTGGGCCACCGTGAGGTCGGGCTCTTGCCTGCGCGGCGCTCGCCCTCGGCCGAGTGGGCCGGCGGCGACGTGAGCTCGGACGTATCCGTCGCCATGTCGGTCGAGATGCCGCGCATGGGCTCATGGCTCTCCCGCAGGTACCCGTGGAAGCTGTCGGAGGCCCAGCGCCCGAGGCGCTTGACGCGCTGCAGGTCGTCCACGGCGTGGTGCATCGCTGTTGCGCCTCCGATGCGGAGGCTGCGTGAGCCGATCTCCTCATTCCTCAGCCCGGCAGCCAGCCCCGCGATCGTCGAGTAGTGCTGCACCTCCTCGCGGCGGATGGGTGCGCCGCTCGCCCAGCGGAAGAGCGGGAGCTCCTCCTCGCTCCCTCGCAGCCTCTGCGGGTAGTGCTGCTCCAGCTGACGGACGGCGGCCACGGGGCGCAGTGACATGCCCGTCTGGTACTGGTTCCTCACACACCCCACATTGTACTGGTCCGTCTTCGACGAGGTGATGTGGAGCACCACCTCCGCCGCGTCCTTGAAGGTGCAGGGCTGGTTATTGCCGTCGCG